TAGGTTTTCTGAATGATATACAGAGATACAGTGTTTCACTGATGTACTGGAAACAAATAAACAAAAGATGGGTAGCCATTTTTAAATAAACCTGGAAAAGAAATCCCAGGTAAAGACATGCAAAAGCAAAGGAGGTTGATATTTTGATGGCTTTCTTTCTAATTTATTGTAGTATAGACTAAGGTATTGTGTCAGTGTGCGTTCTCCTCTGGAGATACTAGGTCTCCCTTATTATGGTGTTCAGCTGTTTAATTAGAACATGACACTATTCTAGAGGCCGCTACCTAACATTTCAAATATCTTTATTTCAGATCAAAAGTAGGTGCTTCACTAATTAGCTCAAGAGAAGTTTAAAAAATCAGGCTCCATTGCTAAAATTAGTTGCTTTTTATTGAATATATAACTTTTGAAATCCATTGTATGCTAGGCACATGGATGACTTAACACATTTTGGATATGTACCCATCCTTACAAGTATCTATTAGGGTCAATGTCTTTGGAGAACTCTAGGCTAAACTCCACCATGGTCTTATGATCTGGAAAAGAATGTTTGGATGTCAGCAGCTGGATCTCTAGTTCCTGTCTCTGGAATGGTGTCATATTAGCTTCAAGGGAAAATTTCTTTTCTTTGTAACACACATATACACACCCAATACATACTCATCTCCAGGAATTGAACTTTAAATTTTTTGTTTGTTTTCTTTATGAAGCAAGGTCCCACTGTGCATCTGTGGCTTGTCTGGAACTCATTATGTAGACCAGCTGAACTCCAACTCACAGAGACCTGCTGGCCTCTTCCTCCTAAGTGTTGGGGCTAAAGGCATGCACCACTGGGCTCAGCATATGCTGTTTGTTGTTGTTGTTGTTGTTTTTCGAGACAGGGTTTCTCTGTGTAGCTTTGTGCCTTTCCTGGAACTCATTCTGTAGGCCAGGTTGGCCTCAAACTCAGAGATCCGCCTGGCTCTACCTCCTGAGTGCTGGGATTAAAGGTGTGTGCCACCACCACCCAGCTTATATGCTACTTTTTAAAAAATGGATGTATAGCAGAATTTGTGTAAAGTTTCCTTTTATTGTGTAATAATAATGGTGGGAGATTAGGTAAACTACTCCTTTAAACTTTAACAAAAAACCTTACAATGATACACAATTATATTACCTTAGGCTAGTTATCAACAGCTGTCTTTGACTAAGAAGCAAACATGTTATCATTCTTACAATATGTTTTGATCTTACAGGAGTGTCAATGTTACAAGCATGACTTAATCTACCATTTAATAGCAATTACTTTCTGAGTTAGGATGGCCGGATGTGCTCTGGTTGAAAAGATGGGGCTTTTTTTTTTTTTTATTGTTAGAGGCTTGAGAAAAAGAAGTCACATTTATTTTGTACTTAGTAAGATAACTGTGAAGAATGTGAAAGGTAATGTAGATATGTAAAATATGAAGGGAAGAAGATAGCGGAGGAGACTTATAAAAAGCATTTGAAATTAAGGGAAAAGGTTGATTGACATGAGGTGGTATTGACTGACTGATGATAATTTAGGGAAAATTGTGGCCATAGAGGTAAAGGATGCCAAGAAGAACTGAGGAATGGAAGGAATGATGCAGAATGAGCATAAAAGGCAGGTAATGTAAAACCCAGGCTTAGTATTTAACCTGGTAGAAATAGTCAACATGTAATAAAAATGTAATACTAAAACAACAGAGCTATATGTAGGATATTGAGATTTAAGAATTATGTGTCCATAAACACAATTGACAACAGTACCATAAATATGATCCAAAAAGCAGTGATGAAATTTAAAAGACGTGGCAAGGTTTGAATCCAGATAACAAAACAATTTTCTATTTATGTAAAGGATTGAGTAGTTGAGTTGGGGACAAATGAAGAAAGCAAAGCATGAACATGTTATATTCAGGAAAAACAACAACAACAACAACAACAACAACAATGTAATCCTTCCATATCAGAATCTTTGTGACATGGGACTCAGAGAGTCAGGAAATAGCTGCTGTAATGACTTGAAAGAAACTGACTAAATGGTTTCCTGACGCTAAATTCTCCATTTCCAAATCTGGTACATTGGATTCAATTTTTGGGATGGGAATCAGTTAGACTTGGGTTAAAATTCTTTCTAATTGTGTTGCAAAGTAAAATTGAATCAATCAATCCAGCATTTGTTACTTAATGACTGTGTTGTTATCATTCCAGTACATTAGACTGTCTCTTCAGAAAGCTAATAAACCCATTTTCCTTCAGTGATTGAGATGGAATCCAATGCCTCATTTGTGCTAGACATGTGTTCTACCAGTGAACCATATGTACCAGTAACCTATCAGCTAATCTTTATTTCCATGTTCTCCTTTATACTCTTTACCTATCATTACCTCCAAGACTGTTTAAAAAATTCCTTCTTAGAATCAATATACTGATATAATGGCTAAGAACAAAAGAAAGAAAGGAAGGAAGGAAGAAAGAGAAAAAAAGAAATGGGCTCACCTTTGATTATTAAATTATGAATTTTTTAAAAGTCAAAAACTTCTGAAAGGTCAGGCTTTTCTATTAACAGTCATCATCCTTGGCAGAGGAAAAAGACTTTGGAGAGCTAGGAATATAGGGATTGGATATTTTCTGAAATGGTTGCCACCTTTAGAAGATTAGGTAATTATTTAAGACATAAAGGAATGTCGCTAAGATTTGGAAATTGTATGGCCTTCTGAAAAGGAGATTTCTGGGCATCAGGGAGGGAAGGAGATAATAGAAGCACCAACGTTGTGAGGCAGAATCTGGAAGACTAAGGATTTGTGTTCCTTTTCTCTAGAAGCCACCATGCAAGTGCTGGGAACTTAACCTGGGTCTTCTGCAAGAGCAGCCAGTAGTCTTGACCACTGAACCATTTCTACAGCCCCAAACATTTCAACACTCTCAGCCTTAGCAGTCTTTGCTTTCTTTTTCTCTTTAGCAATATTACATGTATATTCATCCTACCCAGATGACAATTAAGTTTATTAGCTTGGCTTTCTTTGGGCTTATTGCATTCACAGGAGCATCTCAAAGAAAGCCCTAGTACTTATATCCCTGATTATGTTCAAGATGGCCTGAAGGACAAAGCTTTAACAAATCCTAGGGCATTTATAAACTAAATTAGCTTTCTGGGAGAAAATTTAACATAATAAAATATTGTTTGTTATTGTTTCTTTGCTTTGTATTTTCACTTAAAACAATACACCTCCCAAAACAACAACAACAACAAAACCCCAAAAAAACTGAGGGCCCAAATCCCCCCAGAACACCGACAGCCATTTGGCTTGTACAAGTAATCCACTGCAGCGTGGATAAGTAGTAGCAAGGCTCCTCCAAATAAATTTCAAATCACAGAAATTCAACTGAATATGGTTCTGATTTGTTTTTATTAAATTCTATCATTTTTCTACATTCAGAAAATTATCAGTAAAGCTTGCACTAGAAATTGATGGTTTGGGCAAAAGCATTCATATCATTGTGAACAAAATTAAACATATTTAAAATAAAGTTAATAGATCATGTGAGACTTGTTTAGATAAAGTGCTTTTTAAAATATCATCTACTTCTAATTGCACAAATAGCAACATACCTTCAGATTGTGCTGAGTATATTCAATTTTAAAGATAATAGAGATTGTGGAAGTAGATTTACTTGGCCACTTATAGTAATAGCTGAATTATAATTTTGAAGAAATTTTTTCACTTCTGAGAGCCCTGGTTACCTTATAAATGAAATGGAGATTATGATACTGAACTTGTAACTTGTATGAGGCTTAATAGGCATAATTTTAAGGTGCCTGGCACACAGATTGGTGTGCTCATATTGACAGTTTTTTCATATATTCTTGGAACAACCAAAATATACTAATTTTTGTGAGCAGGGAAGAAAATATGAACAAAAAACAACTAAGAAAAAGTATGGCTTTGCAAAAACTCCCCCAAAGAATAGTGTTGCTGCAGCTTGGTGTTGCTGCAGCCTGGCCTTCACCTTAGTGGCAGCAGGAGGAGGGTAAATGGAGAGGAGTGTTGGCAATGCCAACAAACTGCTCCTTTTTTACAAGTTTGACAACTGACAGCTTTGCCAATGGACTACTCCAGAGGACGTTTGAAGTATGGCAACAGGGACAAGGTTGCGTTTTCTTTTGCACTGCTTAGTGCAAAACTGACAAAGAGCAATGCTTATCAACAAACCTTGAAACCTTAATCATTTGTACTATTTATTGTCACTTTGCAAGTGCTGTCTAGTTTTCAAGTTTGACTTATGTTTTCCAAATGACCACAAAGGAACACAAAAGCCCTTTAAGTTCAGTAATGAATGTTATTGGGAGGTCAATTTTATGAACTCTAAATTCTTTTTAGAATGTACACATATTCTTGGCTGGCCAGAGGTGAGTGACAATTACTGTTTCTGTAAAAGCAATGTTTACTTGTTCAGTATGAGCAAAACTGTTAGCTGTGTTATTATAAAAACAATGGGCATTGTACTTTCTCTATCGGTCTATCCTTGGAATGACAGTTAGTCTCTAAAAATAGAGAGATGGACAAGACTGAAGAGCTTCTTGGAAGAATGCTAAAATAGTCAGTACAGTTTAATAAAACAGCCATCAGTCTAAACAAGAACAAATTGAAATTCACTTCAACCTACTCAACTAGGGAAGACAATTAAAAGAGAAACACCTTATCTATAGAAAAGTAAAGCTGGTCTTTCAGTACTGATTACAAGGTGAGAGAAAATGAACATGCTGATGGCATTGCAATCAGTGTCTGTAATTTGTAAGTGCTGTTCAGAATACAATTCTAAAAAGGGTAGATGTTACTAGACAGGTTGCAGAGAAAACTACCCATTGGCTCTAAATTGCCACACATATTTCCACACAAAAATGATTTTACAAAGATATGCATACCTTTTCTCTTGCTGGAATAAAATAAAGGCAGGAAACAAGCAGAAGGAACAATAGAGCAGGGAAGTCATCTTACCTCCATCCAGTTCCTCAGCTCCAAAATGATTCCTGTAGAATAGCATGATTTCTATCTTGTAACACTTATAGATGGTCACCAAACAAACAAGCAGCAAGAGAATAGCACCAAGCCCTCCAGCAAGTTCAACGGTGTACATTAACTCTAGGGTGAAAAGAAGCAATGGAGAATTATATAATAATTACATATAAAAAAACCACGGCATTCTATTTAGCTGCAAGTAACTCCAGATGTGATAAAAAAAAAATCTCATCTCCTTTTCTGTGACATTTTTTTTGAAATTGGTTCTCATAGCATATCCTAGGCTGACTTTGAACTTGTGACCCACCTGCCTTAGCCTCTCAAGTTCTGGGATCATGGGCATGTACCAACATACTCATCTTGTGTGAGGATTTAATCCATCTTTAACTTTCAATTCTGTTTCCGTGGTAATTGGATAAGGTAATGTGTGACAACGTTGCTTAGTAACTCGGCTTTGGTAAAAATGAACCTGGTTGACACATTGCATAAAATTGTAAATATCTAATAATAAATAAAAATTGTAAATATCTAATTGGAAACTTCAGTATTGGATTGGCCTAGGGCAGCAACCTCTACAGGTACACATATCCCTTGAGGAGGTCTGGTGAACTATGCTTTCAGAATTGATAAAAAGAAATGAGATTTTAAAGATAAGACAGCTTTATGATCACCCGAATATGAATTTTGATGATTTTTTTCTTACCTGAACTGCTACTTGGGAGTTGGGTTCAAGGTAAAAAGAGAGGGGCCAAATATCATAGTTCCTAGAGGACATGTACAGTGCTGCCTAGACTGTTGGTAGAGTTATCTAATGAGTGCTGTCTGCTCTCTCCTGCAAGAACCGATGAGTTACTGTTCTGAAAAGAGTACTGTCCAGGTGTGTTAGGGTAATCTTGAAGGCAGAAAGCATAACTGGATTGAAAAAGTAGGTCTCTTAGAGGATATCACAACAAAATGTGCTGGAAACATTTTTTAATTAAGATACTACATGTGTTTTCTTATTTTTCTTTACTTTCCCTTATATTATGCTAGACATGTTACTCTAAACAAGTCTAAAGGAGGAATTTTTGGCATTTGCTGCATACAAGCTCTCCTTTATCATACTGAATATTGATATAACAAAAATGATCAGACAAAATTTGGGATAAAATAGTTACATTTTCTCTTTTAGAGCTTATGAAGATTGTAACAAAGTTTAGTTTGCTGGTATGTAAGTAGTAAGTATCCATATACAGATATGGAAACTCACTCTGCCCTAAGTGCCTGTATATGAATGTTGTCACTGATTACCATAGTCTAATGTCATTACTGTTGGATAGCTGTTGTTCCCTGAAGTTAAGCTTGAAAAGTACTAGTTTCTTTAGTCCAGTAAGTTTAGTGCTGTGTGTGGCAGTTTTGTCCCAGAGGAAAACCTTACATCTTGGAAGGAAGCTCGGTAACATAGAGAATGTTAAGGGGGACGTGAAGCAACAGGACGTTTTAAGGAAGTAGAACATCCCCTTCTTAAGTTCAGGAAGTAAACAACTCAAACCAGATTTGCTAGGCCTCTCCTAGCCAGAGTAAGCAATAAAGACACCCCCAACCCTTCCAACCCCCAAGTCACTATCAGGCAAACTAAGCTGCAAAGACCCTGAGACCAGAGCAGCTGCCTGGAAGAGGTTCGGCCTACTGAGTCGTTGGGAAATGACACTCCCCAACCTGTCGTGCTGCCCGCAGACTGCCTGTGCAGCATGCTTTTAGGTTTCCAGGTTTCGTGAGCTATCACTCGTGCTGGGGTGGGCTTTGCTGTCATTGCAGTTATTTCTGCTCCTATTAGTAACACTAATAAAACTCATTGGTTCACCGCACTAATCCTTGGTGGGACCCATATTTTGGTCTGTCATCAGTTTCCTAGCTGGAGTGACTAGACTTTTGTTCACATCTCCCCAGGAATAGGGTCACATAACATACAGTCATTCCTGAAATTAAAACACTAAAATAGTGGTTTAGATTCTGTAATTGGGAAACTGTGAAGGAGTGGGTTATATAATTTACAGCACAGTCCATAAAAGCTTAGATTAAGAACATTAAGACAGCCGGGCGGTGGTGGCACACGCCTTTAATCCCAGCACTCGGGAGGCAGAGGCAGGCGGATCTCTGTGAGTTCGAGGCCAGCCTGGGCTACCAAGTGAGTTCCAGGAAAGGCGCAAAGCAGAGAAACCCTGTCTCGAAAAACCAAAAAAAAAAAAAAAAAAAAAAGAACATTAAGATAGTTATGACTTGCAGTAATACATATTGTTAGGTAACAAGTTCCTTCCTAAATTCTTATAAATGGGGTAAAATAGTAACAGCAATGAGACAGTGCAGAGAAAATAATTTCTCACAAGAATGCGTGTGTGTGTGTGTGTGTGTGTGTGTATGTGTGCATGCTTGTATGTGATAACATTTTTTTTCTGTAACAATTAAGAAAAATAATCTCAGTCACATTTCTCATTATCTAGTTCTTTATTTCTAGTGTAACAATTTAATAAAGTCAATACATATAATTATTATTTAATCAAGTGTATTTTTTGTATTTAGTAAAATTAAATGGGAGATTGAAGAAAATATTTTATAAAAAAAGACCTCACTATGAATTTAAGATAGAAAAAAGTCAAATAAGAAATTAAATATTTCAGAGTCAAAGTAAATTAATATGAAACAATGGAAGATAATTACAGTAGCTTTATCTGTTAAACATTGTAAGGAACCACACAAGAGACTAGCGCAAAGGTGCCAAGAACAAAATATGAAATGTTCTTCAGAATAGTGTTTCCCTCCAACTGTGTGAGCAGAAGGAAGAAGTGAGTAAGTAATACTGTGGAGTGCTTTGGGTCTTTGTTCTCAGAACACCAGGTGAACTTCACCACACAGAGAAACCTGAATGAAAGTACAGCTTATATCCACAGGATGGATCAGAACATCCTGATTTAAAACACACTGGACATTGTGGAAAAGATAGTGATTTTGATCATGACCAATTTTGTGGTCCAAGGAGCCAAACCCAGGACGTCATGCTAGATGAATGCTCTACCACTGAAATACATACCTAGCCCACATTGTGGCTTTTTTTAAGGACCTGTTTTTTTATTTATACTTTGTGCTGGCTAGTTTTATGTCAACTGAACCCAAACTAACGTCATCTGAGAGGAAAGAACCTCAACTGAGAAATCCCCTCCATAAGATCAGGCTGTAGGCAAGCCTGAAGGTCATTTTCTTAATTAGCTATTGATGTGTGAGGGCACATCCCACTGTGGGTGGTATCATCCCTGGGCTGGTGGTCCTGTGCTCTGTAAGAAAGCAGACTGAGCAGCCATGGGAAGCAAGCCAGTAAGCAGCACTCTTCCATGGCCTCTGCATCAGCTCCTGCCTCTAGATCCCTACCTTGAGTTCCTGTCCTGACTTCCTTATACAGACTGTGATTCAGGATATGTAAGTCAAACCCTTTCCTCATCAAGTTGCTTTTGGTCATGCTGTGTTATCACAACAATAGAAACCCTAAAGTAAGACACATAATTTACAACTAAAATTTCTTGCATATAAGAAAAGAATGGAAATTTGATTAAGAATACGTAATTCCCAGTCTTAAACATTGCTGATAAGAGAACATAATTGTGCTATTACATTGGGAACGTTTTCTAATAAAGTTTTAAATGTCAATGACAATTCCACTCCTATGTAGTTATCCAAGAGATATAAACAGATACTTTCAGGAAATCTTGTGCAAAAATACTTGGAGTAGTCTTATCCATACTAACCAGAACGGGAAACAACCCATCTCATTAACAGGAGATGCTGGATAAACTAGCGTCAGCCCATAAATAGATTTTATTCACCAAGCAAAAGAAGAAACTAAAGATATACACGATGCAAAAACTCATAGGGTTATGCTGGGTAAAGGAAGCCAAACACAAAGTACTATTTACCATATGGTTCTGCAAAAGTTTAGAAACAGCCTATTACAATGCACAGTGATATAACCCAGAAACTGTACTTTTTTTGTGGGATAAGTGACGGGAAAGTTTATTGGAGAGGGGCAAGGGGGAACTTTGCAGGGTCAAGGAAATAGTTTTTTTTTTTTTAAATCTTGTCTTGGGGTTGATACACAGTGTATGCATTTGTTAAAATTTATTGATCTGATTACTTGAGGTCTATGAATTTTATCTTATGCCAATCATAATTCAATTCTTTAAAATTCTGATTGCTTATGAAAAGCTATTACAAGTTCTGACCCAATGCCTGTGTGGGGAGACACTCTAAGGAAATATTGGAGTCAGAACAGCTGTTCTCCTGTAGATAAGTAGCCAAGCAGGGAATGATTTTTCTATAGTGCCTCCAAGTCTACCGTTTGCAGCTGGAGGTATAGCACTAGGCCCAAGCTTGTAACATAGTGTAAGTACCATATCTACTTAAATAGCTTTAGAGACAATAAAAATGATGCCCGAAGCACGTTCTTAGCAATTCAATTAAAAAGGGACTCATATTTCTTTAGGTGGTGTTCATAATCTACGTTTCTACATACTTTCAAACAGCTATTTTTTCTTGGTACTTTTAAAATTGTTGTATCTTTTATTTTTGAGATTATAATATAATTATAACATTTCTCTCTTCCCTTCCCTTCCTACATACCCTCCCATATATCCATCTTTATTCCCTTTCAAATTCATGGACAATTGTTTTTTTTTTTTTTAGAAATGTAATATGTACAAAAGTAAGTTATTTTTATTTCTAGAGAATATTTGAGCTATTTATTTTTATAGAGGTCATGAGTCATCAAAGTTGTACATAATATCTTAAATATTCTATATATTTAGACAATCATAGTATTGTATGATATGTAATAAGAAATAATAGGGTTGATGTAGTTTTGCAATTAATATACAAACATGAAAAATTCCATGTACTTAAAAACTGAGCAATGAATAATAATACTTCTTTTGAGGTGCAGTCATTTATTACTACTAATTAGAGCATCTGAAAACTGGTCCAAAGAAACTTAGCATTTGCCACTTGCTGTTTTACCCAAAATCTTAAGCATATGTCAAATTTCTCTTCAGATGCTCTGTGTAAAAACATGGTGTTCTGTTCTTACAGCATCCTTCGAA